CCCCCCCCCCCAAACTGTCGCGAGGGCTGAAATGAAAAGCGTCTTGGAGGTCAAGACATCCTGAGACGGCAGCAGCCTTATCTTTTCTAGAAGGGCTCAGTACTTCTGTGAGGTGTGTGTGGGGGCGGGGGGAGGGTATCTGGGATTTTCTGTCCCTTCTTTCCCCCAAGGGCACCGAGACGCTGGGATGCTGGAGCTTTCTCAGAGTGAGCTGACTGTGGGGCTGGGGGCGGGGGGCTGGCCTCTCCTGACCCCACTCCCGCCCCCTCCCCCGCCCGCGGACGCACATGGACTGGGTCACACACCGGCCCTCCCTGCCATAAGGTGGGTGAGGCTGGGCAGGCGACCTAACCTTTTGAGTCTCAACAGTCCAGCACGACAAGATCAAATGGGCGGTGGGTCTGGTATGTAAGACAGACCCAAAGAAGCGTTGCCTCTGTTTTCCTTGTGGGGACGGGGCTGCTGAACCCCACGGAAGGTCAAAGCTCCGAGCCGGCGCCGAATTCACTTCCCGACGCCCCGAGTGGGGTGAGTACCTCGACGAGCCGGGGTCAGGTCAGCTCAGGGCGGCCAGGGGCCAGGCCTCCCTGCACCCCTGCCCCGGAAAGGGCTCTGCGCTCGCTGGCATTTGGAAAGGCCCTTATCGTCACCGACCCCTGGTGGACCTCGGATCTCAGATCTCTCGCCAGCAGGCTGTGTGGCCCTCACCCGGCCTGGGGGGGGGTGGGGGGGGGCGGGGTGGAGCCTCCCACCTGCCCAGGACCACCCAGGAACAGGAACAGGGCCGGGAGCGCCCTTTGCCAAGCCCCCAAGCCAGCGCTCCGTCTGCTTGGCCCAAAGAAGAAAAGACACCTTCGTTCTGAAAAGTCGGTTCTCCTGTTCAGTCTGCGAGTTCCCCCGAATGGCGGTCACGTTTCAAGCCACCAGGCCCTTCTGCACTCTCGGTGCAGCGAAGCCGAGTCTGAGGTTCCTGCAAGAACACTGACAGGTTCGCCACCCCCGCTTCCCCGGCCCTCCGATAGCGCTGACCTTGGGCAACGCTTCCGGGCTCTTTTCCGTGGTGTCATACCCGCGACCTGCGGGCAGCTCACCCTGGGTCTCCTTGACCTGCCGCTGTGTGGAAGCAGAAGAGGACGCCCCAGTTTGCCAGGGACACCCGTCTCCCGTGGGAACAAACGCTCGCATCTGGTCTGTCCGTCTTCTCTCGCTGCGTTGCCTCTAGCCGACCAGTCCCCGTGCTCCTTGTGGGTGAGCCAGGGTGCAAGCATTCGCCGAGGCCCCAGCAGGGGAGAGGTGTGGGGAGACCGCGTCCACCCCCCACCACCGCAAGGCCATGCACGCCTTGCCCCATGGGACGCGGCTGGGGACACGCGGGACTGACCTGGGCTCCGGCGTCCCTCTCCTGTGCTGCACCCGCCCTGCTGAATGACACCAGACGCGCTCCTTGCCTTGGATTCAGACGCCTCGGCTGCAAAATGCGGGGGTCTTGGCCACCGCCACGCTTCCCCGTGGCCGTGGCCACGCCGGCCTCGCTTTCCTAGACCCAAACCACCGGCTTTCTGCGCCCAAAGAAAGAAAGAAAGAAAGATAAGCGTTTCTCTCCCCATATGGCTAACAATGAAGCTTGGGAGCAGACCAGGGACACAGCGGCTGGCCCAGTGTAGACACACATTCGTTCACTTTTGAATGGAGAACAGAAGGAGAACCCGCTGTGAGTGTCCCCAGGACGATGGAGGGGAGCCATGTCCCAGCCCTGCAGTCTCTGATGACAGGATGACCCGGATGTGGTTCTGCTGACCCACGTGAAGACATGTCACCGTGTGTCACCTGGCATCTATCCGAGGGGAGGTTCCGGTCACACCGAGCTCTGCTGGAGGAAAGGGCGTCAGCTGCAGGAAATAAAACGTGCACTGTCCTGACCCGCTGACTTGCAGCCCTAAAATGAGGTTCTTTGTGACACGGGGGACACAGTTTCTCCCCGAGACCTGTCTTTGACCAAGGCCCGTTTGGATCTGTTTTCCCTCGACCCTCTCCCTCCTGCCCCGATCCCGAGATGGGAAGGGGACAGACGTCACATACGTGTGGTCTTCCTTCGTCTCCACAGGGCCTGCCCTCGGGACCCCCGGGGGCTCTGTCATCAACAGGGTTTGCTTGCACACCGGACTCGCAGAAGGGGGAATTTAGTTCCTGCCTTTGGGGCTTCACCCCCACGCTGGCGGGACTAGTGTCCCTTAACCCTGTGTGTCCACCCAGAGCCTGTGAATGTAACTTATTTAGAAACAGGCTCTGGGGCGCCCGGGGGGCTCAGTCGGCTGAGCGTCCGACTTCAGCTGAGGTCACGATCTCACAGTTCATGGGTTCGAGCCCTGCATCGGGCTCCGTGCTGACAGCTCGGAGCCCGGAGCCCGCTTCCGATTCTGTGTCTCTCTCTCTCTCTAAAGTTAATAAACATTAGAAAAAACTTAAAACAACAACAACACAGGCTTTGCAGATGCAGTCCAGTTCAGGTGAGGTCATGCTGGACGACGGTGGGCCCAGTCCAGTGACTGTATCCTTATAAGAAATCCGGACACAGGCACATGCAGAGGTGAGGTGGCCACGAGACAAGGCAGGGGAGCCTGGAGGGAGCCCCCACAAGCCCGGGAGCACCGAGGACGGCCAGCAGCCACCAGAAGCTGGAAGAGACACGGAAGGTTCTCCCCTCGAGATGTCAAGGGAAGCACGGCCCTGCTGACACCTCACTCTGGACTCTCCGCCTCCAGAACCATGACAGGTTATGCTTCCATTGTCTGACGCAGACACAGGGAAGAAACGCACCCCCGGGAGGGGACAGAGGCCCCGTGGCCCGTGGCCCGGCTGCAGGGGAATGAGGCAAACACGGTCCAGTGAAAGCACCTGCCTCGTGTGACGCACATCCTCCTCGTGCTCCCATTCTGCCTATGAGTCCCCGTAATCATCTGAGAGGTGGGCTGGGAGGGGGCTGTCACCCCCACTTTCAGATGGGGAAACTAAGGCCTCGAGAGATAAAGGGACTGGCCCAAAGTCCAGCAGCTGGGCAACAGGAAAGCCTGGATTCTAACTTAGCTCCCTCGAACCTGGGAATCTGGGGACAAAAGGCCTCGTGTGGGCTCGGTGTTATGTGTTGTTTCCAACCTCACCCCTAGTGGGATGTCCCCTCGGGCGCTTTGCTCGCTGACCAAGGACGCCATCGGTGCTGGTCCCCCCGAAGCACCACAACAGAGCGTGACTCCACAGGGCATGATCTGGGTTTTGACCCCCCGAATCGGGAGTCTCACAGACAGAGGTAACGCACCGTGAGCCTTCTCCAATCGGCGCTCAGCAGGTGCACACGTCACATATAACCGACCTGCTTCAGTCCGGCAGGGGGGGTTCGCGAAAAGTCACTGGCCAGACAAATTTTCTCTTGCCTACTGTGTTTCCGGTGGCTTCAGTTACCTCCATCAATACCTGGTCCCCGACTCTCCCCCTACTCAGGGCTGACCCAACTCTTGGGGGCACAGAGCCCGCCTCCAGGCCCTGTGGTGCAGAAGGGGTCGGGCAGGAGGACATTGGCCACTGTGGAGAGCTCTGAGTCCGGAAGGAGAGCAGGGGGTGCGGGGATCCCTGGAGGGCAAGTTGGGGAGCGAAGGGGGTCCGAGACCAGGGCCCGTGCAAAGGGCAGTGTCTGGGGGGTTATCAGGGAAGCTTCACGGAGGAAGCGTGTTCCTGCGGGATCCAGAGGGAAGAAGGCTGGCTGACAGGGGTGGACGGGCCGTGACCACCCAGCCCCGTGGCCCGAAAGCTCCACCGAGTGCCGAGACAGCCCCTGGGCCGGCAGCCTGAGCTCCCAGGGTCTTTTTTCTTTATTTTTTAAAGTTTATTTATTCATTTTGAGAAAGACAGAGAGAGTGCAAGCAGGAGAGGGGCAGAGAGAGAATCCCAAGCAGGCTCCACACTGTCAGGGCAGAGCCCGACGCGGGGCTCGAACCCACGGAGCCGCCAGATCGTGACCGGAGCTGAAACCAAGAGTCGGGCACTTCACCGACTGAGCCCCCCAGGCGCCCCTGAAGTCCCAGTCTCAGAAGAGCCGGGCACTCGCCCGTGAGGGTGACGCTGGGGCAGCACACGGGCTGCAGAGATCCCACAGGGTGCGTCTGCTCCTCCTCCTCCTGTTCTCCCTCATCCCTCCCGGGCCAAGAAAACCAGGGCTCGGCAGCCGGTAGAAGACACCGCCGTTGGCGACAAGGGCGGGCGGGAGCCCCCGCGTGCATGTCCTCGGACAAGCTACTCTGGGCTGTCAGTTTCAAAAGAGGGGGTGCTCTTATGGGGCCACGCGACACGAGGCAGTGGGGCACCGCTGTGGCCCTTGGTCGTGGACACGCTCAGGCCGCGTCTCCTCCGGCCCCCGCCCGGTCCCCCGCCTCACTGTTCCCGTTCTGCCCCCTGCCTCCCTCTCAGCTCCGCTCCGGTCCTCTCTGGGTCTGTGTGACCCTCCAGCCCACTCGTCCTCCACCCCCCTCCGGTGGTCAGGCTTCCCTGGTCCCGCGTTCGCCTCCGCGCCTCACTTCCCTTCCCGGTTCGCTTCCCTCCACCCCCACCCCACCCCATGCCAGAAACTTCCAGCAGAAGCAGCACAGACAGGCCCACCTGTGCCAGGCCTGCCTTCTCTGCTGGGCCTCGTGTCCCCGCTGGGCCCCTGGGTCACGTTCACGCCCACAGCCATCCCTCGGCTCCAGCTTTGGCCTGAGTTAGAAATGTCTGGCTGTTCTTAACTCCCGGAGGTGATTCTCAGAGCTGTCGCCCTCCCCGATGCCCCCAGTGCCTCTGCCCCAACGACAGGCTGCATGCGGCTCGTCGGGTCATTATAGCCGCTCACAGCCGGCCGGCAACTCCCGGTAAGGCGCTGACCCGTCTTCCCGCTGGGCCAAGCCACCTCCCTGGAACCCGGCTCCGGGGGTGACACTCCCCTGCCCCCCACTGCCCCGATGGCCTTGCTCCTCTGACTGGCACAAGGGCCCTTGCTCTCCGCCACCAGCCAAGCCTCTTCTGACACGTCCCTCCAGCAACGCAGGCAAAATGATCCCTGGCCTCCTCCGAGGGTCCCCACTCCCTTTCTCTCCCCGTGGAACCCCCCTTCTTTCTGCTTCCTGCCCGGCTGGCGGGATCTCCCTGCTTTGAGAAAACATCCCACTCTCCCCGGGGAAGTGGGGACACGTCCTTAGGCTTCATCTTGCAGTGAGGCTGCTCTCGCTCACCGCAAGGCGGGTGACCCCCTCCCTGGGTGACGCTCGTGCGGGAGTGCAGTCCCTCCAGGTGGGAGCCCGCACGCGGGGGCTGACTGGATAGACCCGAGAAAGCCGCGTGTAAACAATTTTTAATATGCTGAAGCACATTAAAAATGCATTGGGAAAGCTGGCTAGTTAAAGGAATGCCATAGGGAACTGTTCTCTAAAATGAGAGCTTCTTTGTGACGGGAATAATCACCCCCTAATTCACACGGCACCCGCGTTTGACTCTTCATTGACAATATCGCCTCTCTTAATAAAAAGAACATCTTACAAGGACGTTTTTTTGTTGTCAGAACCTTTATTCCCCGGGGGCAGCAATAATGCCAATGAGCGACTGGGCCAGAAACTATAATGAAATATTCACTAAAAGTATGTCAAGTGTCCAAGAAACTGTGAAGCACATTTGTAGGTGTCTTTGCTGGAGGTTAAGGAAAGTTACGGCCGGGGCCACAACGGGGTACGTAATTCGCTCTCACGCCGTCACCTGGACCCCCACTGGGCTCGTGCACAGGGCAGGGTCCTCGACACAGGGCGCGGCACCCCGGAGGGGTGGTCCTTGAGTTTCACAGGGCAGGTGAAAGTGAGCGCAGGCGGGCTGGGGGGGGACCCTCTCCCTCGCCATCCCCACCCCACCTTCCCTCCCGCACAACTCTGAGCCTGTTCAGAATCCTCCCTACCCCACCTGGGGCTCTGGCCCCTTCCGCGGGTGTCCCCTTGCTCCCCTGAGCTGGGCTCGGTCGGGTTTGCTTGCTATGGGTCCCGTGTCTGGTGGCTCCCAACTCCCTTTCCATTCTGCTCCCTCGACCGCGGGTGGAAGGGGGTTCGGAGTTGGCAAATGGCAAATGGTACACAATGAAGCTAGGGGGCTGTTACTGGTGGGGCCAGCCCTCTCTGGGACTCTCCAAGGTGCTGACAAGGTATGTCCCAGCAGCAGGCGCTCCCTCTAAAGGCAGATGTGATTTTCCAGCCGGGGCCACGGAGCCGCGTCCACAGCATGGCAACGGCCCTGTCCACGCACCCCTCCCCCCATGGGACGGGGCTGTGGGAACCAGTGGAAGGCTGAGGAAGCACAGGGAGCATCTGCAGAGGCATCCGCTCTAGGACACGGCAAGGGTGGGGACCTCCTCTGAGCTCCTCTCGCCAGCACCGGTCAAGACACACGTAAGTTCAGGTAGGGACAGAGCACGCTGCCCTGGGGAATTTTCTGACTCTATTGCCCACGGTCACCTAGAGAGAGGATGGCCTGGACCAGTCTCCCGCGGATCCTTAGACCTTCTGCCAGCCTCAGGCCAGGACGAAGGATGGGGCTAAACCCAAAGGGACGTGGGGCCCAGGGCCACTCTGTCCTGCTTCTTCCGAAGAGCCCCCTTCTGCTCTCAATGCAGCTGGTTGACCAGACATGGGCTCAAAAGGGCTTGGGTGGGAGTGGGGTGTCCCCTCCCAAGAGGGGGAAGGCACTTGGAAACTCCCTTCTGGGTCCCCACGCAGCCTGCCTGCTCCAGACATCTATGTCTTTTCAACTGCTTAGCGGGTAGGTGAGCCCAGCAGCCACGCCCCTGCTTCTGTGGGTCCTGCTCGACTCGTGTCAGTGGGGACAGGCCTGGGCGTGGCCGGCCTAGGGTGGGTGAGGGATTTGCTCAGTAAAGGGGTGCTGCCCTTTATCCATACCAGCCGGGCTGACCCCTGGGGTGTCCCTCATGTGTTTCGATGATCCTGCTCTTCTCTGGGGCTTTCCATCACAGACAATGGTAGTCAGGTGGCCCCCAGGTCCCTCAGGGAGTCTGAGAGGCCACACTTGCAGACACCGTGCTGAGAGATGCTCTGCTGGTCCCTCCGGCCACACCCATGCACCTGTCTGGAGACCTGTCTCTTCCCTTCCCTTCCTGCGGCCTTCCTTGCGGAATTCACCAAGACGCTGCACCTTCCCCTGAACTCCAGAAACCCCACTCCCCTACAAGCCCCCCAGATTCCCATGGGAATGCTCAGGGCTGCACCTCCTTCCTCCCCACAGCACCACCCCTTCCCCCTGCTTCCTCTTCCCCGGGGGCACCTGAGAGCTCACACCATCCCCCATCACTTTCCTCCATCAGTGGACAAGTCTACCCGCATCCCACGACGAAAACTCCAGGGCAGAGCTACAAGGAAAGGTGGTCCAATCCCGAGCAAAGACCACTTTCCGCTGCTTGTGTATGCTCATCGGAAGAGCTGTTTGGTTGGTTTTTCGTCTGTATGTCTGTCTTTTACTCTATGTTGTCCTAGTAATTTTCCAGAACTGATATCCACATTCCTTTGCGGGTACAGGTGAAAATGCCGTCAAAGTAACATCTTCGGTTGCGATGATGTCTGAGCGTTGGTGGGCTTCTCCAACATTCGGAATCCCAGTTGACCTGAGCACGGACACAGGCTGGTGGGTATTGTTCCCAGTTGGCAGATGCGGAAACAGAGGCCCAGAGTCAGTATCACCCTTAGATTCTTAGGCCCTTAGGGTAGATGGGCCCCTGCGTCAGGGGGCCTGTCCTTCTGAGCGCTCCCCTCCGCATTTTCCAACCCCCCTCCCCGGGACTGACCACAACAGGGGTGCCATCCGGCCAGTGCTTCTCTTGCGGGCCGACAGAAGGTGCTGACACGTTGGTTTGGAGGTGACTCCCAGTCATGTGGGTCATGTGGGCTACTGACAGCCCGCCCTTGGGCTTGAGCTGTGTGGGAGCCATGCCTTGGCTCTTGCCTGAACAGATTCCAGAAGGTGCCGCCTCTGGTCTACGGCACCTGAGGGCGGTGGGGCTGGTGGCTTTACCCATGCCTCCCGCAGGCTCAACGGCGCCTGTCAGAGGGTCCTCTGGAGGGTTTTCCAGACCATCCCTCCCCACACCCACAGGTCCTTCCAATCAACACCCGGTCCTGCCCCTGATCAGTACATTCAG